AACTTCAGATGTCCTTCAGGCTTCAGCTGCCAGAGGTTGGCAGAGAGTAGCAGGGAGAGAATCATCCTGTGCTCACTGTTTCTTTTATTTTCTTTCTAAGCATCCATCCCTAGACACTGCTGGAGGGGAGATTCTGGAGCTTTGGATGAAATCCCACAAATTTTCATGGAAGCAGAACAGCAGGAAGGCAAACAGGAAAGAAGAGGAGTAATATACTAATCTCAGGGGCACTTGTTGCATTTCTCTCTTTTCTCTGCTGCGCTGTTTCCTTTTCCTCCAGCCACATACTACAGGATCACACCAGATGAATTAAGGGATTAAACCATAAGGGAGAATTAGGATCCTGCTGATTTAGAACCAGAAACCAGATGGGCTTATTGAACTTTAGATGCTGCAAGAAAATCTTGGGTAGTGCTTTGGAGGTAGGTCACAGGATAATTCAAGTTATTGGGAACCTCCGAAGATCTCTGGTCCAACAGCCCCAAAGCAAAGTCATCTTAGGTCAGATTGCCCAGGGCTATGTCCAGCAAAGTCCCCAGGGATGGAGATTCCCCCACACCTCTGGTTCTCTGTGTTGAACCATCTTCAGGGTAAATTTCCCCCAATATCTAATCCAAACTTTCCCTTCTGCAATGTGTATTTATTGCCTGTCCTTCCATGTCTGTGTGTATACCAGGTTCATCAGGACCCATTCAGGGCCTGTTGTGCCTCCCTTGTAAACCAGATTGTCGGGCACAAATTTCCTGTCTTAGACAGAGGTTAGTGGGCCTTGTGAGCACCTTGGACTCTGCTAGTGGAAGCAGGTCTGGATAGGTCTCACCTCTCCAGGGTGCACCAGTGCTGCCTTTGAATGGCTCTCACCTGTGTAACGGGGTGAGGATTTGCTGCTACTGTGACTGGAGACATCCTGAGCAACATCCAAACATCACTCCCATAACCCACCTTCAGGATTATCCAGGAGGTGGTGGGTCTGGAGAAAAAGGACCCGTGGTGGCCTTTGGCCTGCTGCATCCACCTGGGGAAACAAAGGCATGGATAATAAAGGTCACCTGTTCACCTTCATGGTTGACAACTGAGCCAAGAAATTCCTTCTCCCCAGACTGCCTGGGTCACACAGCATGGGGCCATGCTCAGACACAGCTTTTGGTGACAGGCTCACAGGCAGGTGGACCTCTTCCAGTACATTTTGGCAGCTGGGAATCATCTCAGTGAAAGACAGGGCTGTGATGTGTTTGGCTGTGCCTTGTAGGAGAGGAGAGAAGAAAAAATTAAAAAAAAAAAAAAGAAAAAATAAAAGAGAAAAGAAAAGACAAAAAGGAAAAATAATTGTCTGCAACATCCCAGCCTGTCCCCGATCCTAGGAATGGATGTGAGGGCTTGTTGAGGGAAAAGGCAGCCTGACCCTGTGCAGTGAGAAAGGGAGAGGCAGAAGTCATGAAACAGGGCTCTGTTTGCACTCAGATTCGATTTGCATGGTTAAAACTTGCTGATCCCATACAAGGTTCTCCTGGCTGGGAGCTGAACTTGGTTCCACAGCCAAGCTTTCTTCTTTTCCAGAGTGTTCATCATAAATCAGACTTTCACAGTCTTTGAGTGGAAGGAGCAAGAAATCACGTTTTGTCTCCTGTCCAGGAACTCTGGGAGAAAGGAGCTGTCAGAACCCAGGAACCAGCCCAGGTCTGCTGACATGTGCTCTGTGAATCCTCCTGCCTGGTGCTGCCCTCACCCATCTGCAGTAACAACTCCACCAGCTCCCATGAGCTGCTTTTCCCAGATGAGATCCCAGCCAGGCTCCTGACACCCATGTGGAGCTGTGCCCTGAGCAAGGGATGCCAAGCCAAAACATCTTTTGGGCTGGGTTACACTCTGCCCTGCATCTCACCCAAGCCATTAAGAGGCTTTTCAAACAGATCCAGACCTGGTGTGATGTCGTGTTGTGACCATTTGCACTCTCCTGGGCTCATATCTTTAGGGTCTTTTTTTCCCCTAAAGGATCAGCCCAGAGAAGTCACCCTCCCATGTGCTTTTCTAACTCTCTTGTCGCTAGTCTCAGTAGTAATTATTTTCTGAATATTTAGGTAGAACTTCCTTGCTGTACCTTTTGCTTCCAGAAGGATGGTGGGTCCATTGTCTCCTTCTTTTCTGACTGAACATCTTTCTCCACATCTTCCAGCTTGGCAAAGTGCTGCTAATTTTCCTTGTACAGCTTCATAGGCATTTGAGAGAGAGGGGCAAGTTTCCACAAACATTGCATGGGTCATGTCCATCTGAGCATTTCCTGGCAGGAAGGGAGGCTTTGGTGGAAGTGGCTGCAGAAATCCTACCAACACCTGCAGTGGACCAAAAGCTCCATTGCTGATCCTGCTGAAACAGAGGGTTAAAGCCCCTCTTCTAGAGCCATTCCCTGCTAGTGAGATCCATACAGTCCATTAAAATTAGGGATCTTGTTATGGGCTATATAAAAAAGGTAAAGAGGAAATGAGAACCTTATGAAGGGTTTCTTATGTGTGCAGATGGCAAGGGCATCTGAGGCTAAGAAAGTCTTTCTAACATGTTTTTTCCAAACAGAAATGCTTACTTTACAGGGTTTCCTCTCTTTTAAAAAGAGATAAACAGGTACAGGAATATCTATTCTGCACAATTCCCACTTGCTAACCAGCCACGCTGTCCTTGGGCTGGAGAAACAGACCCTAACCCATATAATTTTCTGTCCTGTTTTCAGCTGGGATAGAGTTAATTTTGTTCCTAGTAGCTGGTACAGTGCTGTGTTTTGGATTTAGTATGAGAATAATGTTGATAACACACTGCTGTTTTAGCTGTTGCTAAGTAGTGCTTACCCTAAGTCAAGGACTTTTCAGTTTCCCATGCTCTGCCAGCGTGGAGGTGCACGAGAAGCTGTGAGGGAGCACGGCCAGGACAGCTGACCCGAAGTGACCGAAGGGATAATGCATACCATAGACCATCATACTTGGTATATAAACAGGGGGGAGTTGGCCAGGAGCCACTTATTGCTGCTTGGGGATGGGATGGTGAGTATTGCATCATGCATCACTTGTTTTTCTTGGGTTTTAGTCCTCTCTCTTTTTGTTATCTCCCTTACTATTATTAATTATTTAATGCTTTAGTATAACTAATTTCAGTTCTCAAACTGTTCTCAGCCCATGGGTTTTACTTTTTTCTAATTCTCAGCCCTACCCCACTGGGGTGAGGGGGACTGAGCAACAATTTCCATGGCACTAAGCTGTCTGCTAGGGTTAAACCAAGACATGCTCTCAGGAGCACAGTCTCCTTTTCCCCTAGCACCAAATTCAGCTTTCGGATGCACTTGCTCTCTCCTGAAGCAGAAGGAGCACACTGTGTTTGCTGCCTCCTGCAGCCTGACTGAGGACTGGTAGCACATCCATCAGCACACAGGAGTTATTTGAGTCTATTGAATAGCATCAGGAGTATGGAGAGCTGGCCAAAACTGGGAATTCAACATTCCAGCAGTGGCCACTGCTCTGCCTCTGCTTCAAAGCAGCAGAAACCAGGGACCTCAAGCATGAATGGACTTTGTGTCTGTAGCAGAACCAGCGACCCTTAGAGTTTGGGCATCTATTTGCTTGGTCTAACCACCTCCTGGGACATTTTTAACCTGTCTCATCCTGTCCCCACATGCATGGCTGTCCTGTCACACAGCAGTGCCAGAATGGGACAAGGTCCCAGAGCTGCTCTCTGAACCTATAGGATCCTGTGGGAACCCTTGGCTACTGCCTTAGGTCCTTTAGGGGCCCCAAAAGCGAGCAGAGACAGGAAGCATCCTTGGAGCATGATCCTTATTTTTACAGAAGTATAATCTCTCTCTAAAGGTGTTGTAGGAGAGTGATTCACATCCCCCTGTGCAGGCTGAGAGCTGAAGCACAGTGAGGCTAAGTGACACGAGCAGGGTTGGGCACATAACCTGTGGCAGAGCAAGAACAGCAGCCCAGCAGTGCTGTGAGCCCTTGTCACCGCTGCTTGTCACCACTGCTCAGTGTCAGAGCTCTGGCCACCTTGCCTCCCTGCCCACCCAGCCAGGCAGCCCACTCCTTGCTCCTTCAGACTCTTAAAATAAGACTCGCAAAGCCTCGAGCATGGTTTCGATTTCATTAATAAATCCCGGCTTGCACTTGAAGCTGCTGTGCCTTTTAAAACATCATCCGTGGCTCTGGTTACACTCCTGATGAAAGCAGGCATGGCCCTATTAGTTTTCATGGCAAACAGCACTGCCACGTCCTGCGATCCTTTACACACTCGCTGTAACCCAAGTTTCACAGGAAAGGGAGGGGGCAAAAAAAGCATCTTGAGAGGTAGTGTCCTTCTCCTTCACTGCAGACCGAGGGCACTGCACACTTGAATCCCTCTCAGAATCAGCTTTCCCATTTTGAAAATACTTTTAATTCTTTTTAAATTGCTACCAACAATTACCTCCTCCTGGCTCTGCAACTCCCACCTGATGCCTGTGTCACCCCAGCCTTGGGAAGGGGCTGTACCAAGGGGCAGGAACGGGCATGGGGTGTGGAGAAGGGAAACAGGAGCTGCTTGAGCAGTGAGGAGCAACAGCTGCTCTGTAGTGCAGCCTCCTCTTCGTGGCTCAGAGGGGAGGTGTTTTGCTGGGGAGCAGAGTTAAGTGTCCACAGCCAACCAGTGTGAAAAACCCACCCCATGGCAACAGGTTTGCTCTGGGTCATTAATCCCAGATCTGCAGATGGGTAAATCAAGGCACAAAGGGTTTAATGTTCGCTAGTGGTAGAGGATGGGGAGGACAAGGGGAACTGTTCCAAAACTGCTGAAGTGAGTTTCCAAATGCCTTCAGCTTTGCTCTGTCCCTTAGGCAATGCTTGGAAAGCTCTGTGGAAGTGAGTTTGCAGCAGAAGCAGAGAGACTGTGCTCAAACAGGCCAGCAGGAAACCAGCACAGGGATGCAGGAGTGTGGCAGAGATTAAAGGAAAGGGGAAAGGGGAAAGGAAAACAGACAGAAGGGGAAAGATATTAAGAAAAAGGAGAATAATGAAACAAGAAAAAAGGTGAGAATAAGGAGAAGAGAGGGAGGAAAGTCAGGAAGCCCCTTTGCATCTCCCGAAGCAGACAGGTGCTGAGGGCCATGATCCCTCTCTCCTGCCCTGGATCCCACATCTCCACCTGTGTCCCAGCATGTTCCCTGCCCCACAGAAGTGCTGGCTGCCCTGCCCACCCCAGAGCTAAGCCTGGCAGCTGTCAGAGGGGCTGGAGGGCCGAGCCCTGGCCTGGATCTCTCGCTGCTCACACAGAGCAGCCGGGAGAGGGTGGCAGGTGAGCGAGGCACGGTCATTGCTACAACAGATGGTAGAGGCATGACATTACATGGCAGGGCTATTATTTATTGAGTGCTCGTGTTTGTCATGGCTGAAGATGACATCTTATTAAAGAGTCATGACACTGGGTGATTTTTTTAAGCCTAGGGGCCAAGAAGGCTAATGAACAGGGATAGCTCCAGGAATAGATGGAGGGAAGTGCTGTTTTCAGGTCACAGGCAAAGCTGACTAATGTTTCACTGACCTGATTTCTGGGTGATTTCCAGGCACATCTTGCTCCTGCTGATTAGGGATGGATACTTCTTGCCATGGCCTGACAGTGCTGGCTCAGGGGGAAGCTGTTCTCTCAAGAGAACCCATGGCAAGGGAGCAAAGCCTGAGATGTGTCATGAGAAAGCTCCCACCCACAGACAGCCAAACAGCAGCACTCCTGCAAACAAGGGCATGTGGCAGGTAATGGCTTTTGGACAGGTTCCCCCAAATCTCACCTTGCAGGAAGTTTGGAGGAGAGCTCTCAGACACCACAGGCAATAGCTGGGGGAGTGTGGGAATCGAGACCCCGCTCGTCACTGTGGCACCTTCACTCCTGTGTGATACTTGTCAGGACAGCCAGACCGACAGCAGGGCTGCCCTGGCACCAGCTCTGCAAGGCTCACCCTCCTTGGGCTGAAACAAGAGCTGCCTCCATGCACTGGCTCCTTATCGCTGACCCGCTCTGTCAGTGCAGATGCTTGACTAATGTTCCCTTGTAAAATGTTGTGTTAAGCACATTCCAGGCGCTGACATTAAATACTCGGGCCAGGGCAGCGCTCACCCTCCGGCGGGCGCAGCGCTGAGCCAGCCCCAGCCGTTTGCCCAAATTTGCTTTTTTCTGCCCCGTCCCCACCTCCCCCTGCCCTCCCTCCGGCACAGCCAGCGTGGGCAGTGGGGGAAGGAGGCAGCGGGCAGGACCGCGGCTGTCTGGCAGATGAAATAATAATTACCCCAGCAGCCTCCGGCCTCCCTCGCATTCCTCTGTGCTAACAGCTCGGCTTATTTTGTTTTCATCCGCAAATATTGACTTGTCGGGTTCTTTTCACCTTGTGCCTATTAAAAAGGCATTGCTCAGAGTATTGTTATTGAATTTGTTCTGCAGCTGCGAGAAGCATCCAGCAGCTTGGAGGAATTCACCCACACCGTTAGCCCCTCAATACCCTCCCAAACTGCTTTGCCTGCTGCTCTCCAAGAGACAGGACCTGGGTCTGGCTCAGCAAGGATTCTATCCAGACTTTCTTCCAAAGAGGAGATCAGGATGGTGCTGGGGATGAGGCAGAGCTATGATCTGCTCCTGGAGGATGATGCTTTGCTGCTCTGTGCCTCAGTTTCCCTGCTCAGCCTTGTGATTCCTGACCATTTTTGTGATGGGCCGGGAGTGTTAATTATAGACATGCGATTTAACAGCCTGACCTTTTGTTACTGCAGCTTGTCCTTCAATACTCATTTCAGCCTGAAGATGTGGGAGTTGTTTCCAGATGCCTTAACCTGGCTGGAGCAATAACCAGAAAAATAAATCCCTTCATTTCTCACTGAGCTGAATTATCTGGGTAATTAGTGAGTGTGACAGCAATGCTCACACAGCTCCAGCGTGAGAGTTTGGGATCGTGGCTGGGGGGATGTTGATGCCTCTCCCCCCTGCAGGGGGTGTTTGGGGTGAGCACAGGGATGTACAATCTCTCCCCACTTTCCTCACAGCGTTCAGCTGAGGGCAGGGGCAGCGGGAGAGCAGCCTGCTCGTGAGGAAAGCCCCTGTTTCGGCAGCTGTGCTCGGCTTTGGCATCTCTCCCAGAATAAAATTGACTGGCACCACATTCCCAGGGACTGCCCTCTGTCTCCAGCCCTCCCTCCAGGGGAAATCCCAGGGATGCCAGCACTCTGTAGGCGGATCTCACCTGATTCCCAAATGGGAATAGGAATTGAGACAGGGGAGAAAGGTTGAAGCATCAGAGGGCACCCTGAGGTGGGTGTCCTTATGGAAACCTCTCCCTGTCTCCTGTGAGTGTCCCAGTGGACCCTTCTCCATCAGGGGTCTGACAGATGCTCGTTCCTGTGGGTGGGTTGGGCTGCGGTGACCCTTGACAGCCTTTTTGTCCACATCTATGGCAGGATCCTTTGCTCAACTTCTCCCTTCCAACCTCCCTCCAGGTGCCTTTTTAACCTCTTCCAGCATGAAAAGGGCCAGCAGGTGGAATCCCAGCTCACCAACCCTGCCTACACCTCAGCGATAGCCACAGCCAGGTGTGGGACATCAAGGAAAGCTCTGACCCTGTGGTGGAGGGATGTCTTTTCGGGGGAGGGATGGATGGTGTGGCACATGATCCCAAACTCCTGCACTGAGCAGGTTGTCCCCTGCCTCGTGACCAGCCTGCAAAGGGGAACGCGGCTGCCTCTTCTCCCAGTGCCTGTTGGTGGAAAGCAAATGTCAGCGTTGTCATGCCCAAGTGTTTATTTTGGAAACAGCCAGGGGCCTGGCCAGCAGGCACGGGGGACATGATCCTCCTTCACGGCAAGGAGGATCAGCCACCCGGCAGCAGCTCCTACCGCGCCCCACCGAGGATGTGGCTCGGCCAGAGGGCTCCTTTCTCCTGCCCTCGGCCTGCACCGCATCAGGGCTGTCAGAGACACTGGCCAGGCTCAGGGAGGGCATCATGCTGGGCCCTGGTGGCACCAAAGCCTGGGGAGCACAGACCTGCCTGCGGGTACCACTGAACCTCGGGGTGACCCCTAAGGGCGCTGGCTCTGGCTAACGCCCAGGGTCATTCCAGGCATAGCAGTTCCATGTCCCTGCCTGGGGTGCGAAGAAAATCATCTCTGAGAAGTGTCCTGTTCTCCTGACCTTTGCTCTCCAAATATTTAGGATCCCACAGCGCACAGTCACAGGCCTTGTTCGGCTTCAGTGTGATGCCATTTGCCTCCTGTCTCAGCTGTCCCCAGTAATTCATCTCTGGCTTGCTGATCTGGGGATGTGGAAGATCCTCTAGCACCACCAGGCTTCCCTGAGCTGAGTGCAGGCGCCAGAGCACCCTCCCAAGCTCTGTCTGTCCCTTGTTCCCTGCACACCCACATTCCCCCCTTGCCACAGGCTGATGGTCACTAGGAATTGAGGGGACCATCCATGGAGGGCAGTCCCCTGTCGCTGGCAGGGTTCATTCTTCCCTCCCTGGTTTGCATCTGTCACTATTCCAGCAGTGATAAGGGAGAGCTCAAGGATGGCCAGAGTGAGCAAACCCTGTCAAACTGTTGGATTTTGCATTAGGGAGGATGCTGGGAAAGTGCTTTTGGGTTCTGTGTAACAAGCAGGAGGAGAAAATTGGGATTTACACGAGCCAGCAATAAACCAGAGAGGGAAGCTCAGACCCCAACATAGCCTGGGATTTTTTGGGCAAGGGCAAGGACTGGTGGCTTTGGGCAGACTCAGACCTGAGCACTTGGAGGGCCTGAACTTGCTGTCAGAAGGTGGCATGAATTAAGAAGTATGCTCTTCTCTTCTGAGGTGGTTGTGGATTTACTACCCCTGTTTCACGAGTTCCTAGAGGTATCTCTGCCCAGTGGTTCCTTGGAAGAAAAAAACTGTTTGGAGAGGTCTGGGCTGAGGATGGGGACCTTCAGAAGATACTCCAGGAGGAAGAACTTTATTTGGACAGTGACATCACCTCAGTGAGGAGGGAGAGTGCTCAGCTGGCAAGTCCTTGAGGAAATGGCACGGACTGCCACTGAGCATTAGTGAGCGTGCAAGGGGAGAAGAGCTCAGGAGGAGGATGCTGAAAGTAAAGAGTGACATTTTGAAAGGGGCCATAGGAGCTATTGAATTTTCTTTGCTCTGACCATAGGTACAGCTTATTGTATATCCTAAAATTCCAGGCCTGGCCATTTTGGTTGAACATCCACTTCTTCCACAGAGGACCTTCCTATTGATAGCTGATGCAGTAAAAGAATAAGGATTACTTAACCACAGAAGAGTCAGTGCTTTATTTGAGACAGAGCCATGAAGGATGTGTCCATCAGAGACCATTGAGCCAGAAGTCCCAGACAGACCCTACTGTTCACAAGTCCCTTTCCTACTGCTTGCCATGGGCTGAGGATGGCAAAACACCCAAACCTCAGCCCGCATGGTTTTATGATGAGATAAAATTTTGTGATGCTTCATAGACAAAAGGGGATTTTTCAAAACTCATTTAAAATTATAATATATGAGACTAGATTATCACTAATTATTTTTCATACTTATTTTAAAATTAGGGATGAATTTTCAGTGTGCTGCTTGAAATCTTGACAGTAATTATTTTATTGGCCAGACGCTACACTTTCCCACCAAAAGCTCTATTTGGGATGGTTTCCAAAAATAACAATAATTTGAACACAAAATACAAATGAAACATCATAAAAAGGTGCCAGTTTCAAATAATGTGAAAAAAAGCGCTTTTTTTTTCCCTTTTCAGATGGATTTGTTTTCTTGAGAGATGATGTTATTTTCTTGAAATTAAAAAAACCCCAAGTGATCGCAGCAACACAACTTAGATTTCCAACAGATGCAAGTCAGGTCATCCCCACAGGGGCTGGCACTTTGTTACATGGAGGGAAGGTTTAGCTCCGTGTGTTTATGTGATGTCCTCACCCTTCTCCATTTGCTGCTGAAGCCACTGGCAGCACTCCTGCCTGCACCAACAGGGCTGCAACTGAATGCTGTAGAGCAAAAACCCCAATGGAGATAGAGAGAGAATCATAAGTAAATGAAAAATGGAAGTTGAAAGGTGAGGTTTGAGGAGAGGAAGTGACTCACGGGTTGGGAATGAGGAATAGGGTCTTGGGGAGGCTCAGCAGCTCGAGCTTCAGTGACCCCCGACTGCGAGGAGTCGTGGGGAGGACGGAGGAGAGGCCAAGCATGGAGCAATGAAATGAACAGTCGAGCCCAGGGAGAGCTGTGAAACCCTGGAAGACAAGTCCATGGCAGTCATGGAGAAAGGGGAGGAATACCCAGCCTTTCCAGACTGTCTGATGTGTTTATCCTTCTCTCTGCTTTGAGTGGGGGCTGCGTGAGGCACGGCGAGGCAGAGACACGAGGGAAGCCAGGAAAGCTGATGCATCTACAGCAGTGGCTTAAAGCTGTGCTCAAACTCCTGACTCTGCATCTGCTGTGCTGCACAGGGAAAGGGGCAGCATTTCCTATGCCACTGTAGCATAAAGGAATGGGGCTAAGTTAAAAATATGTTTGAAATAGTTTGGATATCTCCAAATGAGCCCTCTGACCTCCTCCTGCAAAACTGAGCCATCATGTGTGTGCGGTCAGGGCTGGGTGAGTTGGCAAAGGATGCGTGGGTGCAGTGGTGGCACACAGGTACCACATCAAGCCATGCAAAGGTGGTGGGGAGTTAGGGCTCCTTTCCCCTCCACCCTCCAGGAAATCTGTGTCTGTGTATAGTGGGGTTTTTGGTGTATTTGCATCTGCTCGTAAAATAACCTATTAGCACACCTGCTGTGACTTAGCAGATGGTGCCTGAAATACTGCAAAGACCTTGTGCCCACAAAATGGGGCTGGCTCAGCAATCAGAGAGCTTCTTGCAAAGGTGCTGCAGTTACAGCTGGAGACCAAGCTGTGTGCTCACCCACTGGGGTTCTCTGCCTGCCCTAAGCATCTCCCAGCTGCCTGCACCCTCCTGTCCCACTCCACGTGGCTCCCGTGGTATCCTCATAGCTCTGAGATCACACAGAGGGCAAGTGCCAACAGGCACCCTTGGTCTCTGTCTTTGGAAACACTGAGCGGTTCTTGGCTTTGTTAGAACCTGATTTGCATAGAAGGGAAATATTTGGCTCTAATTGACTTAGTCTGGGCATGGTTTTCACAGGGACACAATGCCTACCAGAGAGTTATGCAGCAAAGTGACTTTTTCCATCATTTACGGAAAGGAACTATATATGTGTATATATAGATATAGATATAGATATAGATATAGATATATAATAGATATCTGCTTTTGCAGGTGAACAAAGCTCTTCATTTCACCCCGCCAAAGTGAAAACAGACTTCAAGCTATGACAGCAGTTTGTGTCATTTATTCTATGAACATCCAGATACATCTTTGCCATTCATGCATGGTTTGAGTGAAGTATTTCTAGGGGCAAAGCAGGCTGGAGATGCTGCTTTCTCAAGAGAATGCAGCAGTTGCCTGGAAACCCCACTGGTTTCTGAGTTGCCATGTGCTAGGACATGAAAAAAAGATTTAGTTCAGGGTCCGTTCCCTCAGGGGTATAATAAACAACCTCAAGGAAAAGGAGCTGAAGGGGATCTCTTGGTCCTTCAACCTTTGTATCTGATCACTGTTTCTAAGGACAGAGAAAGAAGAACCCTGTTATTTGGAACATGAAATTATTGCTCCACTATTGCAGCATGGAGGTGCTCTATTTCTCAGGTTTTAGCACATATGCAGAAAAGCACAGTTTTTAATGATTTCCTCTGGATGGAAAGTCCCAGAAATACCACACAGAACCTATCAAAGCCCTGGCTGGGCTTCCACTGTCATGGAGTGGTTCCCATGCTCACATCCAAAAGGCTTGTGGCCAACCCAGTTTAAGCTCAGCATGGAGAGAGCCAGGCAAGGTATGCTCAAGACTTCCCACCTCTTCTGATAAATCTGCAGCACTCAGAACTAAAACTGACCTTCTGCAAACTAAGGGAATTTCTCTCTTGCTTTCCTAGGCCAGCACTTGGATGAGGCTTGGCAGAAGTTTCATTGTGGATTCTACTGGGCATAGTACTGGAGACTTTAATTGTTGTAGGAGTTGGCTTGAGTCGTCTATTTCTTGAATGCTGCTGAGACAAATATTCTGGCTAAGGCATCAACCCAGGCACCCACTAACTTGGAGGCAGCATGTAGGGCCAAGTACTTGTGTGGAGCACTGTGGAATCCTGTTGCATTCAGCCTGGTTGTGACCCTCCAGAAAGCCAGTGGGTACCATCACTTTGGATGCTTAAAGATCATTTAAAGAACCCAAACCCTGCAAAACAGCACTGCTCTGGAGCCAGGAAAGCAGTGCTCCTGATGCCATCACAGCTTGGTGACTGTGATGACTCCTATCACAGCTTGGTAACCACCCTGTGTGTGTGTGTTTTAGCCCTGTGTTGTCACAATAGGCCTTTAACACACGACATCCTTATGTCCGGATTGGAGAGACATGGATTTGAAAGGTGGACGATTTGGTGGGAAAGGAACAGGCTGGATTGCTGCAGCCAGTCAATGGCTGTGTGTCCAGGTGGAGGCTGGTGACAAGTGCTGTCCCTCAGAGCTGTGTCTTGGGACTGGCACATTAATATTAATATTAATATCAACAGCATCAATCTCCATCTCCAGACTGTGGGATCAGCAAATTGGCAGGTGACACCAAGCTGAGTGGTGCAGGTGACACTCCTGAAGGACGGGATGACAGCCAGAGGGAACTGGAGAAGCAGGCCCATGGGAAACTCACCAACTTCAAGCAGTCCAAGTGCCAGGTGCTGTCACTGGGCAATCCAGGCAATTCCAGACATGGGTATGGGCTGGGAGTGACGTGTCACTGAGAGCAGCCCTGTGGAGAAGGCCTGGGGGCTCTAGTGGGTGAAAGGCTGCACACAGCACAGAACAGCCAAATCCTGGTCTGTGTCCAAAGCAGTGTGGCCAGAGGGTCAAGGATGGGGATCCTCCTGCTCTGCTCTGCCCTTGTGAGGCCCCACCTGGAGCTGCATCCAGCTCTGGGCCCCAAAACACGAGAAAGTCTTGGATCTGCTGAAGTGGGTCCAAAGGGACCACAAATGTGATCCAGAGGGATGGAGCAGCTCCTCCTATGGAGCAGGGTCTCCTATCGGGGTTGTTGAGCCTTGAAAATAGAAGGCTCCAGGAAGAACTCATTGCAGCCTTCCAGTATGTGAAGGGAGCTATAAAACAGCATCTGAGTGACTTTTTACACAGGCAGGTGGTACCAGGACAAGGGGGAACAGTTTTAAACAGAAGAGAAGATATTTAGATTAGGCACTGGGAAGAAATTCCTTGCTGTGAGGCGGCGAGGCCCTGCCACAGTCTGCCCAGTGAAGGTGTGCATTCCCCATTCCTGGCAGGGTTCGAGGACAGGTTGGACTGGGCTCGGAGCAACCTGGTCCAGTGGAAGGTGTCCCTGGAACCAGCTGATCCTTAAGGTCCCTTCCAACCCAAACCATTCTGTGATTCTGTGACTCTGTGACTCTAGCATCCTGTGATTCTAAGATTCCATGAGCAGGTCCCACCCCTTTACAACAGGTCCTGCCCAGTGACAACAAGCCCAGCCCAAGACCCCTCTCCCATATAAACCCCTCTTCCCACAGCTGTGCAGCAGAAGGTGCTGGACGGGGTGAGGATGGAGGGTGTGCCCTGCTTGGAGGGGGAGAATAGGGCATTTAGGTGCAAATCTGCAGCACTCATGAACAAGTTTTTTTTTTTTTTTTTCCCTGCTTGTCCTCCAGTTAGGCAGGCAATCTCACTCTGCTGCTTGGAAAGTAGTCTCTGGAATATTCACCAGGGATGGATTTGTTGATTGTAAAGTTAAATGAGTTTTGAGGATTAGGGATTCTGATCTCTGAGCAAACTCTTTCTGAGGCTATGAGTGCAGGTTGGTGTTTTAGCTGGAAAGAAGAAATTTTTGTGCTAGCAAGTAACAATAAATAAGCTTAATATAGGTTTGTTATGCCTCTGTTAGAAAGACTTTAAATGTGTAGCCCTAATTGGAGAGAGCATCAGGTTAAAACTTAGTAAGGGAAGCTTATTGAAGGTTTTAAATTTTTTTTTCTAAAAATGTGATTTTTTTTTCCTAGAGAAAAAAAGTGTTTTACTTACTTTCTGAATCTATTTTTGATGCAACGAAAAAGTATGTGCTGAACTTTGTCTTTAAATGGCATTTCCTCTTATTCTATATTAAAATGGTAGGTAAAGGTAAAGGAGCTGAAGGAAGAGAAGAAAAAGATTTAAAAAGATTAGCCCTTCTCTCCTATTTTTTTTAATAAAAGCATTTTTAAAACATTTTTAGAGAGCTATCATTGTTTCTTCTTGAAGTACATGGGTTGGAAAGAGTTGCATTGTGGTGGAATGAGCCTTTCACTTTTGAAAAGAAATTTTGGCAAAATATCTGTAGTTTAACTGAAGGATTTTAAATTGCAGTCATCTTGAATGCTCAGAATTCCTTCCATTATCTTCTGAGAACTCTGACATCTGTGTGTGTGTGTATATATATATATATATATTTTTTTTTTTTTTTTTAAGGCACAGCGGTTGAGAGATACTGCTGAAGAGACATTCCTTTATTTTCTGATGATCCTCCAAACCTGCCTGTGCTGTAAGTCAATGATTGAATAATTGTAGTCTGGATAAAGATTTTCGTGCTGAGCATGAAAAAATAAGCAATGGGAATGGGGCTAATTTATCTCTCCCCTTGGAGAAGGAAGACTCTTGTGGCCCAGTTGCCATAGTGTCAGCCAGAACTGATTTGCAAATGAAGGGTCTGAAACTCAAGATGAGCGTGTGGCTGCTCCAAGAGCTCATCCCATAATTTTCTGTGTGCTTTCGTCTGCTTTACTGCTCCAGGGTATGGCCAAGTGCCAGTAACATGACAGCAAGGGGTAAACACTGCCAGCAAATCCATTTTGGGCTTAGCTATGAGTACCCCAGGTGAAAAGTGTCACTCCCCATCTCCCAGAGGTGACTCTACCTGGGATGTCAATGAGGAAGGGAAGGATCTGCCCCGGATTCTTCTACCCATTTGTAGTGGGATGTTGCCATCAGCTTTTGAGCCTCTATTACCAGGGCAGTCCATGCTCCATGTACCCACCAGGATTTGCTTTAGAAAGGTGTTCTTGATGGATGGAGTTATATGGTTGGGGTATGGAGGGAGAGGAACATTTTGGCCATTTGTATTGACTCTCTGTTTTGCCTTCTGCCCAGGTTCCCTGATGTGCCAGCAGCTGGGATTGGTAGTCCATCACCGCCTGGCTATAAACTTCAGTTGGACTGTGAGGTAAGGACAAGCTTTGCTCCTCAGGAAGAAGCCCCCCAGCTATGCAGCCACCTTATCCTTGTGACCTTGTGTGTCACCATCTGCCATGGGTTCACAGGTGAGAGCTATTTCCTTTTCTTGGAGAGATGAGTTTAAAGGTGAAGCTGATTGTTGTCATGTGTTTATTGCTATTGGTTTGTTGTACCCATGTGGAGCTTACTGCAGTGTTATCCTGTTCATAGCTATTCACAATTCCCCTTTGGTGTTTCAAAAATTCCTTCTGGATAAGTTCTTTATGATGCTGCTTAGGGCAACTTTTTCCATTTCTGATGAGTAGTGATCCTCTTCTAGGTTAAATGACTGACATATGACATGGATGGCAGTTACTTTGATTTATATTATCAAAGGGAAGGTTAAAAAATTGATTTGATGTATGTTTTGTAAACAGAACATTATGGGAAGGTGGAAAATTTTTGCTGAAATGTTCTTTTGTTTTGCTACATTGTGCAGACCTTTTAAGAGCAGTCTTTGGAAGCCTTCTGAAGATAAGGGGCTGGATGTATTTGTGTTGTCAGCTGTCCCATGTGGCAGTGCAGGCTGGTGGGATGGAAGAAGGTCGGTCACCTGCAGACTCTGAGGTTTCATGATGACCAAACCAACTGAGCTACACGTGCGAGTCTGTGATTTGCTTGCAGAGATCCGGAGTAGCAGAAGGAGCATTTCATAGGATACGAGCCTGCTTTTTAAGTCTCATTTTTTCAGTTTTTCATAACCAAACATGCTGTTTTAGGACAAGTGGATGATTTGCTACAGGTGTTCCTTGTGGGATGGTGAGTGCGCAGTGAAGGGGATCAGGTGTAACTGGGAATGTAGCCAAATACCAGTCCAACAAACCACTTCTTTTGACTCTGTGAAACCATGTTAAACTTATTTCTTTTCCTCTTGGGAAAGGATATTTGCAGCATATGGGATTTCTGGGAATTCTTCCTTCTTCCTGGGTTAAACCAAAGTAGAGCAGAAGCTGTGCTCGTCTAACGTGCTTGTCCATGTAGCTCCACCCAGAGCCTTCACAGGCTGTTCCCTGTGTGTGAAGCCAAGTCCTGGGACTGAGCAGTGTCTAATGCCCCAACAACAAAATCAGTTTCAAACTGAAGCTGCTAAAAATTGGGGAATAAATATGCTCCTCCTGTTAGCTTCATGTTCTGCTGAGATATCCTGGAATAGCCTCACTCTGTTTATCAGAATCTCTGGACAAGGCACTGGGCTTTTTTTTTTTGATAAGGAGTGAAGATGCATCAGTGGGACTGAAGCGGGCCTGAAAGAAATTTGGGAATGATATGGCTTCTGTTTGGCTTGTTCTGTTGTTTTTTTTTTTCTTTTTTCTTTTTTTTTTTTTTGGTTTGTTTTTGTTTTCCCCTGGGTGACTTGCCTCTTTGAATAACTGAGGGTCAAGATAGGTCTGTTCAACTTTATATTGAGTTTTTGGATGGTTTTGGGTATCATTTAACCCTGTACAATATATAAAATACATATTTATATGTTAGTAGGTTTCATGTTAGTAGAGACAGTAATCCTAAAAAAATCCCTTTTTTTTCAGTTAGTGAGCAACATACAGACTAAAATCCTCATTAACTAGGGGAAAAAGAAATCCTGCAGATATTTCTTGACCCTGCTTTATGTCCTGGTTTTTTAGCCAGTCGTTGGCACAATCAAAGAGCTTCATTACAACAGCTGAAACCAGAGTGTCTGAAATGTGGAGTGGTATGTTTGACCTGGTGTTAATTGTACTTGTCAGTGATCTTTAAGTGGCAGATGTGTTATAGATAGCTTTCCTGAACCAAGATTCAGTAGCAGAACAGGATGTGGCTTTCATAAAGGGAATCCTTGTATCTGGCAACATCAGCTTCAGATCCTGGAAACCAGCACCTACAAAAATGGGCAATACTGGGGTTTGCTTGGATGCTGGAAGGCAGCAGCAGACCAGGTATTGTGGGGGCTGGGGGAGGAGCACCAGCCTGAGGCACTTGGCTTGGAAGCAGGAAAGCTGAGATGATGCCTTGTTCTTAGGCAGGATGTCTTCTGCTGGGAATGGGGTCAGCTGCTTCACAAGCTCCTGACCTGCTCTGACATGTGAGCTCCAGATTGTATCCTGGAAACGTGCAGCTTAAACAGCAAGGCTGTTTCTGATCTTTTTCCTGAAATGTAAGAAAATTCTGCTGTAACAAATAAAAATAAGGGTTTTATGAGCAATTAATCCAATGTAATCACAGTTGCAACCTTTACTTTCATGAGAATTTTTTCCAAAATGCATTCACCTTTCCCTGGTCTCCTAATGATTCTCTGGGTAGCAGCATGCATGAGATGCATCTGGTTCTGAGCTCTTTGTGGGGTTTAGCTGATCATATTTCTGTGTTTGTGGGACAGTTGAATAGTTTTTGCTTCCTTTGTCTTTCTGGACATAAACTAGACTTTCTTTTTCTGCTCTGTCCCTACCCAATTCACAGCAGCTTTATTTTTTAGGTTCAGTAAAGTCTGATCAAGGGGTATAAAAAGTAGGAGAATGGCTCTGACCTTTTTACAGGGATGGAGACATCAACAATCAGTGCACCAGTATCTTTGGAGTTAGGTCTCAATGTTAAGAGAAGAAAGTTAAATATTCTAATCTCAGAAAGATGAAATTAATATTACTTTGTCAGTATGTGGACTGCTATTGCCAGGAGGAAACAGAATTATTAATGTCCTTTGGGTATAAGTGAATAAAACCAGCACCTCATTATTAGATCTATATTCAAAGTAGAATTCAAGCATGTTCTTATTTTATTTGAATGGTGAGGAGCAAGCTGCACAGAGAAACCTGGAAGTTACTGGGCTCAATGCACAGGTAATTGAGTTAAATTCTGTTCTAGATGTTACCTTGGAGAGTCTTGTCTACCCCTCCACATCTCTGAAATGCAACACACAGACCAGAGGACTTTGCAGAAACGTGTGTGGGGTCGTTCCTGTAGTGGCTAGTCTGTTAATCTGCGTGTGTTAGCAACCCAAAAACAGAGCTCAGGGGAGTTACAGGGCTTCATTCAGGACTGTTCCTGTCTGGAAAAAGTGAATTTGGTTTTGTGGGGACTAATATCAGTTCATATATAAGGGTCTCTCACTGTTGGAGCCAAGTTGGGTGAGAAGCTGGCTGCAGTGAGGGGTACAGTTTGCTTGAGCTGCCTGGATTTCTTTTTAGATTCCTTGTCTAAGGTTTTGTCTTCATTCTGGAGTCTCTTCACATATTTTGCAAGTCAATAATAAAGCTTGTAAGAAGTGGTGTGTTGGTAGAAGGAACATGCTGTACAAGCCTGGATCTTGTATTATTTCTAACTCTTCTGTGGTCCCATGGCAACTGCTGGCCAGCAGATAGGACTCTGTAGCTGCTCCAGTGTCACAGAATGAGCTGAGCCTTTCATTTGGCTTGTCTTGGGTTTCAGGGGAATAGATGTTTACCCTGTGTTTGCTCTGCACCCCATGTGTAACTTGGAGTTCTCCTAGATGCCTTGTGACCACAAGTTTTTCCTGAAAAATGGAATAGGACACCTTTTTGGCTGCCTCTAAACCATGGAAATTTTGCTGAGATTTTTCTGTGAAAAAGGAACAATACAATCTCAACATAGAAGTTAATTATAGCAATGGAAATTTTCCTTAAAGACTTTCTGATGTGAGGCTGGTATTGCTTTTCAGCAGGATAGAACTCTTAGAAATGCCACTTTTAATGAAAAATGCTTTAGTGGCAAATACTTTCCACAGTGCAATGGTTATTCTTGGGTTTGTCTGAAGCACATTGAACCTCTGTATTTCTTTGTGGAGTTGCATAACATGGTTTGGCTCTGCCTCTTCACTCTTGCTCAAGTGCAGTGCTGGTCTAGGTGAGGTGGGTGCCAGAGAAGTCATGGGAGCTGAATATGGTAATGTTGTGCTCAGGCTGTGTTTTGTATTGAGCTGCTGTATGGAGTAACACAGTTCTGAACCTTGGGCTCAGGAATATTTGCTTCTGCTACCTTGGCCCCTCTGAAATCATATTACTTATTCTCATCTGTCCTAAACTCCATCTAGATTGAGCTACTCCTGATTTACCTGGGTTTAAATAGGTGATAATTCTCCTAAGAATTGATCCTGTAGGCTGGTTGCCAGGGAAAGACTGCCTTGGATGTAAGCAACAGGTCTTGTCTTACACAGATACAAACCTAAAGCTGGGTTCTGGCAACAGAACACTTTTTTTTTTTTTTTTTCCCCTCTCTGTAATGATGATGTTATCGAGAGAGGGCAGAAATTCTCATACAGCTGAGGTATCCCATCTGTTCTTATCCTGTTCAATCTCCTAACAGTCCAAACAGTACTTCATTTTCTGGAAACTTGCTGATTTCCCTCTCTTTTCTGGAAATCTCTGCAGCTATGAATAAGGAAGGCTTATGCTGCCTTGGGAGGTGTGAAGCAAGTGGCCAGCATGGGACATGGTATCAGGTTGCCACTGGAACTAATAAAAGGACTGATAATCTTGTCATGTTTTTGAATACTCAGGCAACTTCTATGGCCTTAATGCAGAGGGGAGGAGGGGAAGGGAATGAAGAAGGGGCTGGCCATAAGTAAGTTCACCTGTTAAATAAAAGAACTCAAGGGTTTTGTAGGTCACTATGATGCTCTCTTTAGGATGTCCTGGTACAGTGGGAATTTAAAAGCTGTGGCCAGAGCTGGCACAACTCCTCCAGCACTGTGCAGTGCCTGGCAGGCACCTGCCTTTGCTACACTCGAGGTAGGGAGGTGGTAGGATTCTGCTGTTTGGTGCCATGACGACTCTAAGTGCAAGTGGGGCCAAAGGGGGTTAGGTACAGTGATGGAGGAGCTCAGCAGTGGTTGTTGATCATGCAAATCTGTACTGCATAGCAGATTGTTCAGAAAGAGATTCTGCACTCAGATGGAGCTTTGCTCTTTAGTGCTGGGGTGCCTAAAATCTGGGTTCTGCTGTAATACTGAGGCAGCCCCTTTTTGGCAAAGCTGAGCCCTCATCACAAGGGTGGGTTTTGGCTCACAGCTAAGTCTCTCATGTCTGAATCTCCTGGAGGATCTTTAGATGTGCTCTAGGTGTGTCTAGGATCACTGTAATTGCTCTGAGCAAGAGTGTTGAGAGCCATCCTCTTCCTTCTGAGCATTTTAGTGTCTGGATGCGTATGTGAGTGACCTGGGGTTTTGGTGGCCTGTGGCTTCTACTTCCAATACTACTCTTCCATGTTAACTAGTCATTGGATAACTAGCTTTGGATCCAAAAGAAATGTTTATCCCTAGAACCAGAGCTCAGCACGTCTCAGACCACAGCACAGAATCTGGGCCCTATTTGCTTTTCTCTTCTGGGCCCTGTGAGTCTGGTGTGGCAGCGTGGTTTGAGGGAACCTTTTACTTCTGGAGGGTGTGATTGGAGAGTACAGGTTTCAGTCCCTCCTGGCTCTGCAGGTGAGGGTGTCTGTCACCAAGTGTCTGTGCAGAGTCTGGGATGCCTCTTTCTGCTGAGCTTTGGGGGAAAAAAAGGAGTTCATCCATGCCTGAAGAATTGTTTTAAGTTCCTACTGCAGGAACAAATTAAGGGAGAATCCATCAGTTGGAGGCCTGTTGTGGCAGAGGCTTCTGTTTACTGCCTGAGAAGTTATAGACTCAGCAACATGAGTTATGGAGTCTTCTCTAGCACCCATAAATCTTGGAGGAGAATCAGAGTCTTCAGCCCTGTACCCACCCAGGCTAATACCATTTCTTTGCAGCTGGAATTAATCATGGCATTAGGCAAACAACGGGGGTTCATTAGGACCAAAGGTGACTTTAATTTAATTGAAATATAACTTGGCAAGTAGAGAAGTGATCCAGTTCACAACACCTAATGGGAGGTCTGGGTTATATATGGAAAAGTTAATGGCCGTAAAAATATCCAAACAACATATTTGTGCACGTGTTCCAGTAAAAGTCTGAGCCAACTACTTTTTAATGGTTTGGGTTTTCAGATGTATATATTCATGTTCTTAAAATAAGAATAAGACTATATGAGTGTGCACAGCATAGAAATATGAGGTGGGTGAGGGCATGAGGGAGAGGAGCCTCATGGTCAGAGCAGCATCGGTGAAAGCCACCTTCCTCCCTGCTCTGGAGGAGGCTGCTGAACATCTTCTGTCCCCAGAGGGTTTTTCTGTGTCATGGATGTTACAGCCTTGCTCTTAGAGGCTGAGGAATAAAGGTTCTTACCTGGTTTTTGTGGTGCTTTGGGTAAAGGCGCCATAGAGATGTATCCAAAAATGGATGTTTGGAGATTTTGGCAGTTTCATGTATTTAGATTTCATACAACTACATGAGCACAAGAAATAAATGAAAACCCCTTAAATACTGATATTGGCATTCCCTTGTGAATGACCACCCACATCCCCCAAAATAATCATATTTAAACACCAGTTAAATCAGCCTGTGAATCAGTGTGACAACACAGGTCTTTTAACCTTCTCTCCCTCCTATATAACAGGTCCTCCCATTTCTGCATACACACGGCCTCATAAACTGACTCCTACATAAAATATTATTTATATTTTATTAGGTAAATATATGACAGTATGCACACATCGGTGGGCTGTGACTTCATAGGACCAGCCTGCAGATTTTGTACTATGTAGCTTTTATCCTATTTTATTCCCCAGGCTGTTTTTCACAGAGAAGGGGCCATCTATATTTTCATGGGCATGAAATCTGTATATCCAGCAATGAATGCGAATCTCTACCTTGGAATGGACCATTGGAAATAAAACTATATACCCACGGATTTTTTTTTTTTTAAATCCCCTTCTCACTGGTGTTTTTTCCTTTGCCTCCATTGCTCATGAAAGAGCTCATCTGATGGGCCATGATGGAAGATTGTCTTGTAGTTGATTTCTCATGAGCTGGCTAGTGCTGGTAGTGTGATTGTGGAAGCTTGTGAGGTGCTTGATTCTTCAGTTCTTGGGTTGAGAACCACAGAAGCATTAAGGTTGGAGAAGACCCTTCAAGGTCACAGAGTGCAACCTCTAATATAACACTGCCAGGTTCACCACTACACAGTGTCCCTAAGCACCACCTAAACATCTTTGTGTTCTTTGAACACTTCCAGGAACAATGATTCCACCACTTCCCTGGGCAGCCTGTCTTTATGCTTGACCACCCTTCCAGTGAATAATTTTTTCCCAATATCCAGTAGATGAAAGTA